CGAGAGGGTCAACGCGTATCATACAGTTAAATATACCGTACTGTGCTTCTTGGTGAGAAAAATTTGCATGTAGGAACACTGGTTCACGTGGCAAGGCTGCACTTGTTACCCGTGTAAACCTCCACACCATACCTAGAAGAATGATCTAGTGTTAAACCATAGTATATTGTCTCCATTAATGCACGGCTTCAGAAACTGTCCGTGTAAACCTCCATCGTAGCCAGGACAATGTTCTCGGTGTTGACAGGTGACACGACCTCTACACTTTCCCTAGCCACGGGATTGCGGCCTCAGCCTGTGCGGTGAGTCTAGTGTGACGTGGTGACTCCGTTGTTTTATTAGGTCACGATGATATGACACAGATCCCGTGTTAAAGGCTATTGAGCAGTTTATGGCCGTATTAATTATCACTGACTCGGCCCGGATTCTCAGGGGTTCGTGTGTAAATCTTTCCTCTCAACGACGGACATAATAATCCATCCGACTGGCCCACTTAATCTACAGCACAAATATTACGTTCATAGTGGCATAGAAATTGCATTAACACTACCATAACTAGATGATTTTTCTTATTGTCAAATACGGAGAAATATCAGCTTGGGAATTCTTGAGAAGCTCCTTCCAGGGGTTTGATGTCTGCAACTAGAGTTGTTTGCTTTCGCGACTTGTTTAGGTCTTTTAGCGAAACCGTGTTGTTGTTGTTGTTGACTTTCAAGAAGCTGTAACTTGTTCAAGGGAATAATAGCGAAGCCTTGGTGTGCCATTGTACAGGCACGTCTCGCCCTCTTGAAGTCAGACGTAACCGTTGCTATTTATTTTGTATGTTCAATTACGTGCTAATTTTGGGTATATATGGTGTTTGTGGGAGCGAGAGGTGAGGTTCCAGGGACATGAGTCATGCCTCCCGTATAGCTTACCTCTGGTGGGCGTGGGCGAGGGGTGGTGTTGGCAGGTGCGTGAGGGGAGGGCAGAAGGCAGGCTAGCTAACTGCCTCCCCTCAGTTTGAGCGTCAGCGGGGCGGGAGGTGCCAGGTCAGCCCTCCGCTGTGCGATTTGGTGTATGTGTGTACCTCAACATTACTGACACCTCTGCCTACCGCCCTACACTACACTCGCTGATAATACCTTTGACACCTAGAGTTACACAGCTCTTCCTTGCCCGGGAGTGATCAAGCACGGCGGGTTAGCGACTTCGAGAAACTGGTTGTAATAGTTCTCTCTGCTCTTGGCTCGTTGTAACTCGCCTTAAGTGTCGCCCATGCTCGTAAATCACCGTTGCTTGGTGTCATGAGCGGCTCACTGCGAGACGAAGGCTTCCAACCAAAGTGTTGACACTGCTAACTTTGTTAAAGGACGGACGACACAGTGTGGCGATATAGTGTGGGCGACATGGTGTGAGACAAAGTGCGAGTGGCAGTGTGTGGTTTGGCTGGGTGGAGGCTGACCCTTTACAATGAGCCATCTGCCATCCACAAAGGTTGAGATCACCATATACGACCTCGTCAGCAGTGTGTGTGACCGTCTTTTTTTTTTCAGGAGTCATAATATTACAAAGGGGTACCATTGAACTTCACGTGGTGGGTGAAGGAAAGAAACTTTTATTGAATTTTGATTAACCAAAGTGAAGCGAGAGTTAGTGGGCACTGGTGGTGCGCTGGTTATGTTCAAATCTGAAGCTCAGATAGTCTTCCAGAACAACGCAGACGGAGCCCTTCAGCACCTCAACAGCAACATGGACCCAGGTAATGAGGAGCCGTGGGGAGGGAGCTGCTGTCGATGCAAATTAGGCAAGGATAATTTATTTTGATTACATCATACGAAGATGACTTAGGAAAGCTGAAGATCCGTGCCTATTTTTTTTTTTTTTGGCGGGGGGGACTATGGACTATCAGCTCATGTTTAAAAGCATACTGTTCTTACATGTGTAAAGCAAACTATTTAAGTTCTTCAAGTCGGACTCCTCCTTACCCGTTTAAAAAGGGTTTCGCGGATTTATTATTATTATTATTATTATTATTTTTAATGTGTCTAGCAGGAGGCTTATGTTAGTTCGACAATAGGGAGTTAAGTGGAGATGTTTGGGACGGTCACTTAGGATACCTAACCTGATCTTTGCCGTCCACCACTGCGCATTGGAGGTCCCTAGTGTGTGGTAGGTGCCATATTAGGTATAGGTGAGTTTCTGTACCCGCAAACACAAAGTCCTCCGCGCAAGGAACTGTTGTTTGTTTTTCAGCGTTAGAGGAATAGATTTTTCTATTTTTTGCAGTAACTTTTTTTTTCCAAAAAGTTAAATAGATTATTCCAGTGTTAGTGAATGATCTAAGCAAAAACAGACAAGGTAGTGTGGTGATACTGGTTATTATTACGACATTCTATTAATAACTACAGCTTGATGAACTGAAGCCTTGAATGTATTCCTAATAATAATTGACACGTGGATTTTAAGTGCTTGTAAAATATACTAGGTATTGGAAAAATAATTATCTATTCGATTACGGTACGCGGTACACAGTTTGTGATAGGTTTTAAAAATAATTGGCTCTCACGACTCAGGAACTGGTGAATGGATGGTCACTAGTTTTATCTCATAATTGTTAATGAACTTGTGTAATTACCAACCTTGTTACGTGCTTAAAGACCATAGCTGAAACACAGTAATGACATTAAAACTTACACTTCTGTTCCTGAACAAATGAGTTCACGTGGAAAATTAAGTCTTACTCCCAAATAATTATTGTTGTGTCCTATTTAGTGAGTATTATTTACACTTTCAGTGATGATGGTTAAGGACCTGAAACCATAGTTTGGGTCTTGTTGTCGACGTGATGGTAATAACGGGACTGTCGTAAACAGATCACTGGTATTAGGGGTGCTTCAACAATTATATTTAAATGTCAGTGTGTTATAAATTTAGAGCACATTCTGATGATATTTATTTTGAGTACTAATATTGCGTTTCGTGGCACGTCCGCTACTAGTCCAGTAGCAGACCTTGAATATTGTTTAGCCATAATTGTTGGTGGGTGGCTCCAACTGGCAACCACACGGGAACTATAAACATTATCTTGGGTTTTTGTACGCCCACAAATATACGGTTGTTTGCGGTGCGGCATTGTTTGTCATGTCTTCAATGTTTACATTTGGCTTGTGTTAATTTCATCATCGTTCAACATATATATTTTTTTAAGATTTTGGAAACGTTACTCGTAAGAAGTTATCGGCCATCTTACCCCCCCCCCCCCACACACACTTTTAGGCTTGTACAGTTTCAGGACTTTTTTCTTTTATTTACAATTTTACAATTTACATATATACATAGGTATTACATATTAATATATTTGTCTGAAGTATTTGGATGATTTTTCTTTTAAAATACACTTGATCACCCATTATAATATACGCTGCGTTTAATAAAGGATTAAGCATATTCAATCTACATAACAAAAAATAAAAATCTGTAGCGTGCGTATCATATCTCCGTAAGTGGATTGAATTTATATAAACTTATAACCACTGTACAGAGGTGTGGCTGAGATATGTAATTTCGTGATTGGTGTACGGTGCCGTTTTGACTCCCAGAAACAAGAGTCGCTTAGTTTATGGCCCTACTGTGCAACCAGTCCGCCCGCGCTCGTTTTTCTTGTTTATGTGATATGCTCTGGCATAAAAGTATCTTTTATTTCAGGAACCACTGTTTTATGTGAAAATTTGTGTTATCTGCTACTGATCTGCAATTGAGAAACGGCTAAAAATCTTGACCAGAATATGTGGTGAGACATAGAGACAAAACATTTAATGCGTTTGTCTAATGTTGAATATTATTGAAGCACGATGGCCATTTTCTCTATGGTGTGCGCGGTTGTAGATTGGGGTTGAATCACAGTATTGATCGTACAATTGACCACGCAAGGTTGATATTTCGACTATAACGATCAAGGGATATATATATATATATATATATATATATATATATATATATATATATATATATATATATATATATATATATATATTGAGTTGAAAACACTGGTGTGTGAGTTGTCTGTGGGTTAAAGAAGTATATAGTACTGAACCTGGTACTAAGAGTTATAATAGTCTCAAGTGTGATAACAGGGTGCCGCCGCAAAGGCCAAGGAGGGGGAAAGGTGAAGGGCAGGCATGCGATGCACCGTAACGCTCAGGATACCTCACACTGGTCGTGCCTGGCAGCAAGGACACCTAGTTCTCACTCATATCGTAACTCGGTTGAAACTGGTACTCGCGAGTACACTACAAACCTTTCACACATTTCTCGAGACCAATGATTTGATTAAGGGCGTTAATAAGTGCCTTATAGTTGTCTACATTATAAGGAAAATGTTTCGTTGCCTTTGGATGGCATATTTGTAGAAATTGCACAAAACTTCAGCAATTACTAATACTTGAAAACAGAATTTATATTGTTTGCACATACATTACATCGTTTCGAAATTGAATGATGTAATGATGTTTGGTGCAGGCAAACGACTTCACACAAGAGGAACATGTAGGTACAGTATCAGTCCACAACACGGGATTTTTATTTTTATTTTTTATTAATACGTGTTTACTTTTCGGATAAAATTTATATTTTCTGGTACACTGTACTGTACATGAACGTTAATTATACAATTGTTATGGATATGTTTTATTAATTATTATATATTCGTAGTTGCAATAGTTCATTTACTACTGGGTATATCCGACCAGAGTGAATGTGGATGAGTCAGTTGATATATAGGTACTATACTGTATTTGGTATAGGTTATGATTTGGTGAAACAGCAGAGTTCAATCACAATATTGCCTACCCAGAGACATATATATATATATATATATATATATATATATATATATATATATATATATATATATATATATATATATATATATATATATATATATATATATATATATGTGTGTGTGTGTGTTTATTAGAATTTTGAAGCTGTGTATTAACTTGTTCCTTTTTTATCACCAGGGAGCGGCGGCAATGATAACGGAGGTAGCAGTGGCATGCCGGGAATGCTTGGGATGCCTGGGATGCTGGGGATGCAGAGTGGAGGCATGATGCCCCACGATGCACGGCTGGCAGATGAATTTATGAAGCTACAGCAGGACTTCTTTAAGTGGCAACAGCAGCTACTACAGAACCAGCATGTCCTACATAGCCGCGTGGCGCCCCTCGCCTCCAACCCACCACAGCTGCAGAGTGTTGGGGTCAGTCTTAACATTTAATTTCTATTGTACCAACACTTAGTTTCTACAGTACTATACTGCATATAAAAATAGACAATGGAATTAAATGTAATTATGTATCAGTAGAGTGTGTTATGACTTGGGGAGGTAAAGCTGATAACAGATAATCATCCAGATGGATTCAGAATTTCATATGGGTGGGAAATGACTCATATGCCCTGGGGATCATCCAAATCTAATAATAACGTGTAGATTATTGGGACATGCCTGAGGTACATGTTCTGAAGATCTCATATCGCACTGCACCAGCAGTTATTAATCAAAGCATATTGTAGATGACAAGACAAGCATAATAGCATTGTTATGGCTTTCTTCCATAAAGACTTTTTTTTTCGCATGAATATTATGCTGTATGCGGAGGAGAGGTATACACCCGTCCTAATTTATACTTGTTTTTATGATTCTTACGATTTATTCCAGCTGTATTCAGTGTGTGGTTGCAGTATATTACTGGAAAATACTGTCAAAAACATAACAGGTTGATTATATTACTTCTAGAATAAAGCAAACTCCATTCAGAACAAATTAGTTAAATAGTTAAAACTTTTCTTTCGTTATGAATCTACTGATACATTATCGAATGTGTTTAACAAGATAGACAAAAAAAACGTGCTGTACAGTACTGTACTTCAGGACATTAGAAGTTACCTTTACCATGTCAATACAGTATGTAAACTTTTAATACAGGTATTTTGCCTCAAATATTAGTCTCCAGGGATTTATAACATTAAAGTTGTACAGGTATTTGAGTATACAGTAAAATTTATACAGTGTACTATATTAGCATTGTATAGAATATGCTTTTAGTTCAGTTTTAAAACCAATTATCCAACAGGGGTTAAACATGACTTTCAATAGTGCTAAAATTGTGGTCACCTGAGATTCTACGATTCATACCAGTAGGTGTGAAATTCTATCACTTGTCAGGAAATCTCAGTTGCAGTCATGTGGTATTGCTTTACCATTGCCTCATACAGTGAAGGTGTACTGTATTTGTGCACATGGCTGGTGTGTGTGTGTGCATGTCTAATGTAAAGTCCAGTATGCACGAGGTTGTGTATGTGTATATACTGTAGTGGAAAGTACCGTGTACAAGACTTTGAATATGTATTTATTGTTGACATTTTGTAGGTTAGTATATAAATAACGTCATACAAAATGTGTAAGAGCTAGCCCTGTGTTTGTGGCTCTTAATACTGTACTCTGTGTGTGTAAACAAAATTGTGTTTGATGCACTTTAACTCAATCTGTCTTTCCATTTCTTATATTTCACTGATACCTCTTCAGTAGTATCTGCTATCAATCCAAAGTCGTCAGCATGCAACAAGGTAAACCAGTCCTAAATGTCTTTATGGTGCATCTTAACACCATGATAAACAGAGGAGGGCTCAAGAGAGACCTTTGATGGATCTCCTTTTCACCTCAAATGCATTTAATTCAAGTATAAAACCCCTCTACTGAATTTTTTAATGATTATAGCAGTGTTAGATATTTTGAAACAAGCAGTGGTATGTTCACTGTGTTCTACATTCCCCCCCCTATGCTCTGCAATTAACAGAATGTGAGTAAAAAAAAAACTAAAAAAGTCATAGAATTTGATCACTCATATCCTCAGGACAGAGAATTTCATATCATATTAAATGGAGTTTTTATTAACATACAAGAAGATGTGGAGACCATTCACTACCATCACCTTGGAAACTCATGTAAGGACAATACTTTTCAATGATGTATACCATACTAAATTAATTGTATTGACACCAGATATTGAGCAAATACTGTACAGTATATGAATAAAAGTGGACATGCTCCTGGAATTCATTTGAATTACTAGTTAATCATTCATGGAATGTAAAAGTATCTAGAATATGAGGACTAAGGTGGACCATGTCATGTCATTGTCATTTTATGGTCATTTTCCATGCTTGTATAGGTTGCAGGTGCCCTGTATTAGTTCAGATTCATATGGTAATTTCTTATACAGAATAGTTTAGTGATAATAAACCTGTTCCTTTAATGCCAGTATGCAGGTACTGCACTTCACTCAACAGAGCCTCGGGTTCAGACCAGTCATATTGCCGGTGTACTTTACATTTCAGTATTATCGTGTAGGGAACTTGTAATTGATTCCCAAGACCAATCTCCGTTTTGTAGGTTTTGCGTGATATAATGGCCCAGTCACCGTCTAGTTACAACGGTGGTCCTGAATTGGTTGAGGCACGCAATCCTATCATAGAGAGAAAGGGCCCAGTGGAGAGAGTTATTAATATACAATTTGAAGATGGCCCAAGAGAGACATCTGATTCTCAAGTAAGTTTTGTATTATATTTTATTTAATGCCTATGGGTTAATCTGTGTGCAGCCATAGATCTGGGAAGCACATGTAGTCTTAGGTTTTAATTTCACTTTAGAAGAGTTTGCACATTAGTGATCAGGGAATCTCTTTTGACTGGAGTACTCAGATCACATTGAAACAAAAGGTTTTTTTTATGATTTACAATTGAGTGCATTTTGTTTTTACCTTGTCCTTCACCTTAGTCTTTGCACAAGGCCTTGAGTTCTGTAAATTAATTTTCATCATATTTTGTTTTAAGTGACACTCCAAGAGTTAATTTCTGCCATTTGGTATTGGAGTCAAAAGTTTGTTGTCAAGGACATCATGTTCCAATTAGCAATGCACAATTCTAGTTTAGTACTTGTCTTATGTTGTTATAAGCAGACACTTATGCATGATATGCCAGTTGTGTAATATACAGTATACTGTTCATGTTTTCACTTACTATATATATATATATATATATATATATATATATATATATATATATATATATATATATATATATATATATATATATATATATATATATATATATATATATATATATATATATATATATATATATATATATATATATATATATATATATATATATATATATATATATATATATATATATATATATATATAGTATTGTATATGTAGTATTGTATATGTATTATATGTTACTCTATAAAGTGCTGTTATCATTAAATCATTAATTTGCTGTACACTAAATATCACAAAAATTTTATCCCTCCCAGATACGCACAAACTCCATACCTCGCCTAAATCAGGGTATGCAAGATGTCACCACAGGCATGGGCCAGCTCTCTGCCAATGACTTTGGAAGGACCAATAATACACAACCAAGAAGGTAAAGAAAAATAATTGTTGTATATATATACACAGTGGTCCCTCGGTTAACGAACAGAATTTGTTGCAGAAGGTCGTTCGTTAACCGAAACCATTGTTTCAATGGGATTTTGGGTAATTGGTTCCAGCTCACCGAAAATTACAAACAAACTAAAAATAAATGCAGTAAAGTACATTTACTTTGAGGTGTGCATGTAGAAGGCTCCTGGTTGATGATGATGGGAATTAGAATGGGGGTGGAGGAGAAGGGAGAAGAGAATGCATTGGGGTGGAAGAGAAGTCACCCCATGCTTCATGTCGCCATTTCACCATAAAATTTTAGTTCACTTGGTGTAATTCAAGATGATTTTCATTAAATCAACACTGCACTCCATTATACATCGTCAATTTGTAAAATAAATTTCAGAATGATTAATACAGGGACTGTACTTTTTTGGGGGAGGGAGTGGGGGGGGGGCACTCCCCTACATCCTTGTGTAAGGTGAAGTGCAGAAGCGTTTACAGTGCCCAAGGGAAGCATGCTAAGTTCATGCTTGCCTCTATGTCTCATGAGTTAAGGGCGTAGAAGCCTGAAGAGTCGATGGTTTTTATGTCATCGAGTTATTGGAAGCTCCAACAACTTGTCCCTGAATACGAATTCGCAACTTTCGATTTACACCAGGTACCTACTTTACTGCTAGGTGAACAGGGACTAATGGGGGCTAGGAAGTATGTCCAAACAACTTCCACCGGCCCGGGAATCGAACCTATGACATCTCGCTTGCGAAGGCAAGAGCGATACCACTCTACCACCAGCACCCCAATAATTGTACTGTAAAAATGTAAAAATGGTTTATGTTCAAGAGAGTCTCAAGCAAGATGCTTCCTCCACAGAGCAGGGACTCACTTTGACGCCATTTTGGGTGAGTCAAGTGGCTGTTTGGCGTGCTAAAAACTAGTTTCCTGTACTTCAATTATGTTAAATAATTGTTAAAATGACTAAAAACTTTAATATATGACTTGGAAAATTATTGAATAGTACAACCTTCTTGATATTTACTCAAATGGTAACGAATTTAAGCCCTAAAACTGATAACTGTATTGGCAGACTAATACTACAGCTAGTGAGCAGGCAAAAGCAGGCGAAAACATGTTGGGAAAAATTTGTAAGGAAGTCGTTAACCGAAGTGAAGAATCTTATGGAAGGTAATTCGTTAACCGAGGGATCACTGTGTGTATATATATATATATATATATAATATATGTATGTATGTATGTATGTATGTGTGTGTATGTATGTATGTATGTGTATATATATATATATATATATTTCATGTAAATCACAATGAAAACGTGGATAAGATAAATCTTGATAAAAATCACAGGGAAAATGGAAACAACGATTACCTTAGCTTTCGTCTTTATTCAAGACATCTGAAGATATCTTGAATAAAGACCAATAAATACTATCCAATATATATATATATATATATATATATATATATATATATATATATATATATATATATATATATATATATATATATATATATATATATATATATACATACACATCTTAAGTTTATATCTTGTGAGTACATCATGGACCCCAGTTTTGTTTACATAGACAAATAAACATTTCTTGGTTACAGGTGGGGTGAGGAGCCCAGCGTAAGTGTTGGGGCATGGATGGAACGGCCATCTCAGCCTGTAGGAGTTTACCAAGACCGTGACTATGTTACCTCAGCACCGCGCTCCCAGTCTACTCAGGATCTCTCTTCTCCACCTGTACCAGAAGAACGTCAAAGGACTCCTCCTCGCACCACTTTTGTAGGACCCAGGGGTTACTCTCGGCCAACAGAACCTGTCAAGCCCGAGTCAAGATCTTGCCAGTGGCCTTCACCTCAGCAGCAGCAGCCCCAGTTTACTCAGCCACAACAATATCAGTCCCTCACACCAGATCAACAACAACAGTTTGCTCAATTTATGCAGCAGCAACCACCACAGCCACAGCAGCAACCACAACAGTGGCAGCAACAGCAGCAGCAACAACCACAGCAACAGTGGCAGCAACAGCCAATACAACAGCTGCAACAACAACCACAGCAACAGTGGCAGCAACAACCACTACAACAGCAGCAGCATCAGCCACAGCAGCTGTGGCAACCACCATCACAACAACAGCAGCAGCAGCAACACCCACAACAACCATGGCAACAAACACAGCAGCCACAACAACAACTACCAAAGCCTCAATTTGTACAACCTCAGCCACAGCAACCAGACAAAAAAGCCTTTTGGCAGGAGCTAGAAGGGAAGCGGCAAGAAATGGGTGTTACTAATGAGCATGAAGTGTCAGAACCTACTCGGCCTCCCAGACGAAATTCCCGTCAAGATTCTCCTCCACAGGTAAGATCTTTGTTCATGTGTCATATCCTACAATTTTATTGGTTTTGAATGTTTTATTGCCTAATCACATCACTGGAAATTCCAGTTAAAGTCCACACTCCATGTGGGTAGAGAATTTAGGATCTAGACTTCTGATGTATGTGACTGTTGCAGCTAGCTTGGATAGGGTTGGGCAGGGCAGTGCAGTGCATTTTCAGTTGTGATGATCTATAAATTCTCATTAGTCTTGAGGTGTAGTGGGAACTGTCTGGTTTTGAGGTTAAGTTCTTAAACTCTACATGATTCTCATTTATCTTTTTTTTTTTGGAGGGGGTGGGGGGGCATTGTCATTCTCCATAACCTTTTCTCTACTACTGTATAACTATTGGTTGCTTTGATAAAATTAAAATCACTTTCCTTTGTACTCAAGCAATCTGCCCAGTAATCCATTGCTTGTCATTAATATTCTATGAAACTTCACACATACACATTCCCAACACCCTCATCTTCATTCGTAGCAGTGAAGTCTCACATACATGTCTTATCTTCTTTATGAAACCCTTTTTACTGTAATTATAGACTATCGAGACAATTAACATAGTGTATCTGGCATCGGGATGAAGTGAGGTGAGATGAGACATTTAGTACAGTATTAAAAGAGTTAATACCTGGTAGTCTTTTTTCTGACAGTGCCAACAACATCAGTGTGTGTATGTATTCTCAGGTGCATATTTCCTTTCAACTTCCTGAAAAAAGTATCAAATGGAAATTTGTACAGTATTTGTATTGTCTTTACACTTACTAAAGTAACTGGAGATTTATTTTGTGCTTAGCTTTAGACATCATATAAGTGTAATGCACAATAAACATTTGAATCAATCAATATGGCTGCCTTGCTGTACAGTCAATAAAAAACTATTACCTGTATTTATGCACTGGGGGGTGGGGGGAGAAATCGATGATTTTCAGAATGAACACTACGACTTCTTGTTTTGGCAGGTTTGCCAAAATTCTTTGTCCGTTGTGTCATTGTCTAACAATTTTTTTAAGGATAGTTTTTTTATCAACTGTACATCAGTGGATAATCTGTACTGAATGCAAACAAATGCATCTACATTATGAATATCAACAATGTTGTGCCTACATTCTTGGAGTTGTGTAATATATTGTGTGTACAGAGTACTGTACATGTATATGACTGGGAGTTTTCTTCTATATCGGCATAATTTTGAAGTCAACTGGGCAGTGGTGTAATTACTATTTGTAATATATAACTTTGACAGGAATGCTTTTTGACATTGCTGGCTGTGCATATTAAGAACATTTTATAGATGTGACTTTAAGGATGTTGTTGACCTAATTTTATGATGAATCCCAATAGATAATTTTTTTTTTTATCCAAACTTCTGTTTTCTTTACAGGAAACTGAGGCAACAAAACCTTTAACATACTTTGGTCAGCAGGCACTTCCTCAAGAGCCTCCACCAACCTACTATTATAATGGGGATGGCAACTCAGCTCCGTCGAAGGTAGTCAACAGTACTACAGTAACAAGGCCAAAGGAACTGGAAACTGAAGTAGGAGGACCACGCTATACTTCTGTGGTTACTCTCTCCTCAGACAAGAATGACCAACCAAGTGGGGCACCTACACCAAAGGACAAAGTAAAATCAGTGGTTCAGCTCAACAACAGTGATCAACGAGGACAGCCCCGAACAGCTCCAGTTGTGCGTGGATTCAGACAACCAGGGGAGGAACCACTCAACCAAGGAGGTAGCACCCATAGTAGAATCATATCAAATGCACTGAGGAATGCTCAGCCATCACAACCCCAGCCTCGCTCATCTGTCTCTCCTCCTGCTGTAAATGGCACTGTGCCAACTGCCCTGTCAGCTCAGGTACCCGAGGCACCTACTGCTTCAAGGCTAGTTGCTGCTGTATCACAATCGGCTCCAAAAGCCCCCTCGCCATCTGCTATTTCCCGTATCTCACCACCTCGTACATCACCATCTCGTGTTTCACCCCCTCGTACCTCACCCGCTCGTGTCTCACCTGCTCGCACCCCACCCTCACGTATCAGTCCACCTTCTGGGCCAGCGTTCCCCAATGTTCAGCTTCGCCCAGTGCCAGCTGGATTGAGGGCTTCAACACCCCCTGAATCATCTAACACCACTCCTCCACAACCACCTCCACTTGCTCCAGTTCCCCCACCAGTTCCAGCAAATCAAATGGGTAATGCTCCCCCACCACCACCACCTCCAGCTCCCCCTATGGCCCCACCACCACCACCAGCTCCTAAAGTAAATGATGGCGAAAGGCGCACTTCATCTGGAAAGCGAATTGTTTCATCAAAGGGTGGACCTGAGTTGGATGCTCGAGAGGAACTCATGATGGCCATTAAGAATCACGGAGGCTTAAAATCACTTCGGAGGTCCCATAACTAAGTACCTTATGGTAATTATTAGTACTCATAATATACAGCGAAAGGATTGTGGCAAATATTACCATATACAATTCATGTTTGATAATATATAAATATTGAAGTAAAAGCTTACATATTTGTTAATATATTGGAAAATGTGGTAGGCAGTATTTTGGGTACCTTGAGTACAGCACAGTACTTCAAATTTGATGTGCTATACAGTATATTGATTTAAAAGGTAACTTTTACCTTTTTGAATGGATTTCTGGTATATTCTCCATATTGGACTTTGTAACTATGTATTTTGTTGTTGTTTCTGTAGTGCCTTACTCCACTGAAGCTCCAGTCACAAGCAGAGCTATGTATAGTCTTGTACAGTATATATTATCATTCTGTAGATATTTTGAGGATATTTTAATTATATATCCTATTAACTGTCATGTGGAAAACAAATGTTGGACTCACCCATCTCGAGAAATTTCTTCAAATTAGCACTTGAAATAATGTTTCAGTTAACACTTGTGCTGATACTCAGTTCTATTATTGGTGCTACCATGTGTAGATTTTTCATACAGTACTTTGTTACAACAAATATATAGAGGAGACTGTTAGTTTAATGAAATTTGATAATCATGACCTTGGAACATAACTAATTATGGTCAAGTTTTCATGTGTGTATAACCATTTTGATTATTGCTATTTTTAAGTATTTCAGTTAAGGATACATGTTTCTTCCATATAAGTATTAGAGCAGTATTCTGAAATGTATAGCGATCTTCAAAATCTGTCATTCATAGCTTTCTTCCTACAGCACTGAGTGAATAAATCTGTTTTTATAAACCAAATTTTTGATGCTATCTTGTAAAGATATAGAACAGGGCTGTTCTCAATTTGATAAATATACAGTATGTTTTGGTTACTAGATATAGTAATAATGGAATTGTTACGCTTTGCATTTTTATTCAGTTCTGTGTTAAAACTTCAGTAAATAATTTTCTGTTGCTGTGTACATAATGTAGAAGTATATTTTCTCCAATAAATCTTATTGGAATCATCATTTGTCATTTGTATCTTTATATAAAAATGTAGCCAGATATCAAATAAAGACATTTACATCAGTAAAATCTTTGTAAAGAATATTTAACGGTGACCATTTTTTTTTTTTTTTTCAACAAAATATTTGTAAAAGTCTCATGGTGAATATCCGTAAGCCATTAGAGATTATTTATAGGTACTGTACAGACATTCTCAAAACACTTTGAGTTTGAGTTTTCCCATTACAGTACAGTGCTAACTTGTGAGAAGTAGGCTACTTTCTCAGAGCAGAAATGTGGAACTAAGGTCACAATCATGTCAAACAATATCACACAGTAACATCAATGACCTCAACCTCAAAGAAGTAAAATAACCTCATTGTGTGTTAGGTAACAAAAATCGTGTATAGTGACCCCTCTGTAGTGTTTTGGTGTGTTAGTTTCTTTGCAATAACTGCTGAATTAGCTTAATAACCTGAAATGTCCAAAGAAGTGAGTTTGGAAGTGCCACTGACTGACCATAAGTCACTGTTTAAGAACAGTCCTGTGAAATAGTTGTATGCAATGCACTGTGTGAACTACAGTACAGTACAGTATATACCGAAAAAATGTAGTGTTATTATTTTATTGCAAATATATCAACTAGTAGCCCCCAAATGTTATTTTTTGTAAGTTTGGGGGAAAAATGCAAAAGTTGTGTGATAACAGTTGGTGATAATGTTGGTCAAGAGTGTCATGAATACAACCATTCTCGTGATGCCATTGGTATTGAAGCTAAGAATGTAATATTTAACATTCGAAAGGATGCACTACATTACTGTACACCTGTATATTGTCGCACACATCCAATGGAGCCAGCCTAGCACCAGCTAAGTTACCATCCATAAGCGATGTAAAAAGATCTACTGTACTGGGTACAGTATTTGGAATATACTTGAGAAACAAAATCTAGGGTAACTACAAATTATTGGATAGTTTATCTAAATGAGTAAACTAAAACTGAAAATGGAGATCAGTTCTTAGTCTCTGACTGGTGTGACAGGTAATAGAATATCGACTTTCTGTATGAGAAGAAACCTACAGTTACTAGAAAGTTATGATCATTTGTTTGCTGTGAACATGTATGTTTTGAAGAATTGTTACATCAGAAGTAGCTAGTGGTTTTAGAAGAAATTGTTAATTTTGATATTTGCTGTTTTGAAGAATTGTTTTTGGGAGTTACCTTCAAAGGCTTGTGTGCATATGCATTTGACCACAATATCACCATGCACACTTGGTAGATTTTTCTACTTAAGGAAATGGAAGGAATAGAAAAACACATTTTATATAAATAAACACTATCCTATACACCAATAAATAAGCTACTTACATAATACTACAGTACTACTAATCTTGTACAACCTACACAAGAAATTATTACAGGAGCTTGAGAGCAAACTCCACATACAACAGTAAGCCTAATAATGCACATTATCCCAGTCGAGTCAGCAGTCCTCACACAGGCACACTCAACATCTAAACATGGTGTTCTGATACAATTACACATACTGTACTGTACTGTGTCATGAAGGAAGTATGTACATAACACCTTGACAATTACACATACTGGTACAGTACATGTCTTCATTCAGATACACCTCAATATCTACACATAAAGTACCTTGATGTAATTACACTGATAAACACACACTACAGTATTGTGATGCAAGTACCTCTTGAAAATTACATACTGTATGTGTGCATACGGTATAGTGTTCTGATATAGGTACCATGCAACATCTCCATTCCCAGTGCTCTATTAAAGGAACACGTTAATATCAACACCTATACACACCCAGTCCCACACTCGTCCAGGGCATAACCAGATGTCACAAGGTTATCAAGAGGTGAATGCTTACAAGATCACTCGCCATGTACAGGCAAACTGGAAATCTGGATATTATATAAATTTAATAGTTCTCTTTCTCCACAGAGGCACTGGTTTCCTTGTGCAAATTTTACAGTATTTGTGAAGCCAGAAAGAACAAGGGGCTGTAAGCTTTACGTTTTTTATTTAGTTTTTATCGATCGTGAAACAGAATTCAATATGAGTTACAGGTACTGTACTGTACCCCTATTAAGAACTATACTGTATTACTAAATAAAAATTTGGAACACATTATTTTATATAATTTAATATGGCACTGCTTTAGCACAGAACTCAATGAAGAGATATCACCATCTTAGTTTAAACCTACAGGAAAACATATTGCTAAGATTTTTGTACTGTATACTGTACTGTACTCTCTCTCTGTCCTCCTAAGGTACAATATTTTGAAGACCTTGTCTCAAGAATAAGGTGCTCAAGTAGTCTGAATCCAGAGTCAAAGGAAATGACAAAAAAATTGTCCCTCGCACAGAAAATTTGAAATAATTTGAGTTTTTCCTTTATGGTGTAGCAACAATGCTTCTTAACCCAGAGAGTTCTATCTCAATTTTTAACTGTTAATGGACTCATAATACTGACCTTATTACACACTTAAAGATCTTGGTTCTTGAAGCACACTAATAACATTATACTTCAAACATCATACAGTGCTTCCCGAGACAAACTGCTCAAGCTAAGCAACTTGTCCACCGTACAGTGTTGTACAGTAAGTCCTCGTTTAACGTTGCCCCCTATAACGTTGTTTCAATATAACGTCGCTATTCTTTAGAATACCATGATTCGGATAACGTCACGGACTACTTTGTATGGCGCATTTTTTGGCGTGATACAACGTTCTAACTCACGGAGCGTCACACGGTGTCCCCAAGCGTTGCCAGTCTTTGTTAGGTTTCCACAGCGTTCATGCGTGTTTAAGTGTTTTTGCTCTTACCATTCGAAATGGCTTCCAAGCACCTATCAAGTGCTAGTGTTGTGAAGAAGCCATGTAAGACCAGTAAGCCTTGCTATGAAAATGGAGTTTTTAACCCGTTTTGAGAAAGGTGAACGTGCGGTGGACATTGCTGCTTACTGTAGGTCTAACCCCCACAACAGTGCGTACTATCCGGACCAGCACAGACAAGATTAAAACTAGTATTGGAAGTGCTTGAAGTTCCGTGATGAAAAGATGAAAAAGATGTTGGCTATGTGGATGGAGGATCAGAATCAAGGCAATGCCCCCGTGAGCCTTATGGTTATCCAGCATAAAGCAAAATCCTTGTTTGTTGACTTAAAGGCAGCAGAGGGTGAAGGATCAAAGGATGAGACCTTTACGGCCAGCTGAGGATGGTTTCAACGTTTTAAGCACCGTTATAACTCCCTAACATTAAGATGACTGGTGAAGCTGCTAGTTTAGATACGGTTGCTGTGGCGATATTCCCGCTGGAGCCCTGAGAAGTTACTCTAAGGATCACCTTCCTGTTATCTACAAGACAAATAAGAAGGCATGGATAACCAGTGTCATATGAGGCGTTTAGCGTAGGAGGGACGAACTCGTCAAATCATAGTTTTGAGTAAACGCACAAAAAAAGTTTTAGAGCTGTAAAATCACAGCACCATACGAAAACAGAAAACAACGGGGAGTAGAGACGAACACGCCTCCTCCTGTCATCACAGCAGGAAAGATAAAGCCTGGAAAATTCAGAAACCATAGAAAACAGATTTTTAGGGGACTGGCGAGTTCATACCTCCTACGCTAGACGCCTCATATTTAGCCAGTGGTTAACTGTGTATGCTGTTCCTGCACTGAAGGATTATTGTGCCAAGGAGAACCTGGACTTCAAAATTCTTCTTGTCATTGACAATGCTCCAGCGCATCCTCCCAGTCTCGACGACTTACATGACAATGTTCGAGTTGTCTTCCTGCCTCCCAACACGACAGCTAATGCTGCATTCAAGGCGTATCATTTAAAGCATACCATGGACCAACTGGTCAAGGCTACTGACGGAGAAAGTAAACTTACGATCTGAGAATATTTGCGGGGCTTCAACATTCTTCATGCAATCTACAACATTGGCACGGCATGGAAAGAAGTTTCAGAAAGTTGCCTGAATGGTGTGTGGCGTAAGTTTGGCCCGAGTGTGTGAACAGTTTTACGGGATTCACGGACTTAGTCCCATCTGTGAATAGGGATACTGTATCCTCAGCTTGGCTAGACAGGCAGGCTTTCATGAGTTGGAATCTGTGGATATTGAGCAAGTCCTGGCATCCCATACAGGAGAGCTTACTAATGAAGATCTGCAACTGCTAACAGAACAGTGCCGCTGAAGACGACGACGAAAAACCACAATGAACGCTAACTACCAAGAGGATGGCAGACGTGTTCAACATAATCCAGCAAGGAATGCAAATCTTCATTGATGACGACCCAAACAGAGAATGTAGCTCAAAGATTGTACGCAACATGGAGGAAACTCTTAGTTGCTATAATGAGATCTACAAGGACAAAACGAAGAGGAGCACTAAGCAGTTAACTCTGGATTCTGTTTTTGTCGCCGGGAGGCAGAAGCAGCATCTTCACAACAGCCTGCAAGCGAGGAGGAGCAACCAGCAGCCGAGGAGGAGCAAACAGCAGAGGAGGAACCCCAGTCAGAGCGGAAGGAGAAGCCACCCGCCAGGTTTCAGTGACTCGCCACCCTCCTCTCCCGCCTCCTCCTCTCCAATAGCCACCAAACACCTCCGTCCATCAGTGAGTACAATACAAAATGATTTAGTTTATATATATATATATATATATATATATATATATATATATATATATATATATATATATATATATATATATATATATATATTATATATATATATATAATACTATTTTCTATAAAAATGCCATTGAATTTCTGGGAAACGAAACTCCAGTATTTTATCTATTTCTTTTGGAGAAAATTTATTCCGTTAACGTCGCGGTTTTCAGGAACGGAACCACGATGTAAAGCGAGGACTTACTGTAATTCAAAGGTGGCAAGAAATCACTTTTTATGGAAGTGGATCACACTGCATGGTCAAATGTGATCGGTAAAAATTTTAAAATGGGAAAGTGAATAAACATTGCTCATAAATGTAGGAATTGATATCAAAATGCTATTCTAAATTGTCACTCAAATTATAAGACTTGTGAAATTTAGTTCAACTATAGCCTTTTACTGCAAGGCTTGAAGGTCGCACAAAAATAGTTCGAGGCCCTCAAACCACGGGTTTTGGATCACTGATGTAAGCGGACCTCAACATGACAGGCATTCCAGTACAGGTATACTTATATTTGTTCTTTGAATTATACATTCGTGACACATATTGGCTCCGTTTTGATATTTAGCTTCATTTAGGTGCATTTTCTTGCACCTGGGCAAACCTTTCCCACTGTAGCAAGGGAAAAAGGTAATAATGGAGCAGACGACTAGCACTACAAGTTGTTCTATTACGTTAAATTTTTCCACGGAAGTTCTTTGGATGATAGTAACAAAAACGATAAAACTTTATTCTAATTATAAGTATTTTAGTTTTACCTACGATCATAAAACACCTGTAATGGGCAGGGTAAGAAGGATGAAGGAAATTGCTGGGTAAAACACGGCAAAAAACTGATCTAGGGTGTCAACCTGCTTTGTATGCAAAGAAATTATTTACTAAAATATTCCTCCCCAAAAATTGCCTTGTGTGTTGTCCGCTGTTTCAGTGCAACAACAGAGCCGTTCGGTCCGATCGTACTCTTTGTCCACAAAAATAAGAAGGTAAGATTACACTATGCCGTTTCAAGAAGGTTGCTTTCATTGGTACCAGATATCAAAGTAAGTTATTTATCTTTAATATTCTGTGGGGCGGAGCCCCCCCCCGTCTAGGAAGTTAGGTAAGGTTAAGTATGTCTCTTTGGTTACATCAGGTTCTATTAGGTTCTGTGTATTGTTAGATAATTTTATTATTATCATAAAGAAAAGGAAAAATAAATAAAACTTCTGGTGTAAGCCGTCTGACCCATCTTTACCGAGAAAAATTTACCTGTACTACAGTACTGTATATGTGATACTGTACTCAACTATATTCCTTAGTACTAAAATTACAAATTCTTGCCACGTTTAGAGTACCCTGCTATTTCTATTTTTTTTTTAATAGATAGGCATCCCGGTGTGAAATGAGTAAACCTGTGATGGTGGATGCATGTGTTGAGTCTGTTAACTGATTGTTATTCGCTTCAGATCGTGCAGGCATGAGACAGTTGGACTCAAGTTGCGCCAGCTTATTTTGCAACACACATCATGTCATTTTCCCGTGCAGGCAACATAGTAATGACTAGAATCACACTCGCTTAGCACATTTTGAATATGCAGTATAATGCACAGTCTACAAAGTAATATGTACACACGTTCCTTAACGAATTGAGCATTCTCTATTTAACACTGCCATACTGTAATCACATTTAAGGGACAATGTAAAGTTTGCAAATGAACAGGTATACGGTAGTTGTTCTACATTATGTGCGATAATGATAAAACGAGTAGTTTTGTGCATTACATTATTTTTTGTTCAATCGTAGGCACTTTGGCATGCAACTTTTCATCATGTATACCCATTGCAGTGAGTTGAGATTGACATTCCTAAAATGTCATACAAACTTACCACTTACAGTTATTGTACGTGTAGTTCTTATTATTTATTTTCGTGGATACGGAAGAACACGACTGATTGGTATATACCAAGAAATTACTACAGCAAGAAATGTATAATGAAGTTTTTTCTTTTTACAGGTATCTTTTCGTAAGTTATGAACTGTAATACAACAGTGAAGTTATATACTCTACTTTCCATACAACATTAAATAAGGGAAGAAGACGAGGAACACTCGAGAGGCAGCGATGCGATTAAGTGTGGTTACACCTTTTTATGCGTAGCATGAGATTATCGCCCTGCTACTGTGGTTACTGTCTCATCTTCTTGGCTTCGTTATGGATAGTCATATATTCCTTTTTCTCCATAGTTGGAGAATACATGCTAGTCTTCAAAAGCGTATAGAGTTTGCCATAGTTTGTTAAATATGAAGACCTAACAATCCACACCTATTGATATTCACTTATCAATGCGTTCGCATTTTAAACAAAATGCCAACAATAAAGTCGGCGTCACACCTACACTTTTTGCGTCATATGCTTGCAATAATTTTCTTAAGGATTTTCTTTTTCTTAAGCTCGCCTTGTCACACACAGAACCAACCTATCAGCGCAACTGTAAACCTCGGCCAAGAGCGCCTGATGAAAACGAACAAAACAAATGTATTTAGGAATATCAATACCAACAAAAAAATTACACAAGCAATTTATTAACAATGTAAAATTAAAGATTCTTCAAATTAAGTTATTTACCGTGGTTCGATTATTTTATATAACGGTCTCATTATCGAGTATGGATCTTAATTTGACCATGAAACTTGGCACAAGGTTGGCACCGTCGTAACAGCCCATGCCGCTGACGACCAGCAAACCCAAAGAAGCAAGACCACCGTGAAAAATACAACAGATTATGTGAGCGTTGAATCAAAAAGTGATAGTGTGACGCCGCCACACTAAGTAATTATTTCAGGAAAAGTCCCCTATTGACGATTCCTGATAATCCCGAGGAGTAATCTCAGCACGCCGCAGTTCCGATAATTTGAAAAGGTGTTTATGCCCAGTACACTCTTAGCACGCCACACTGGTTTCCTCGCCCATGCTCTTTATAATACAGTACTTGTTTCCTTCAAAATTATGTCCTTAATAGTACAAACAATAACTGTTTTTTCTTACTCGTAATAGCTTATCACGTTAATGTTACCCATGTGTTCTTCTGTCCTTACAGGTACTGCCTGCGACCTACTGTATATAGTCTACGCTTTGCTTCTTAGGCCATATTCTGCATCCTACTGTGCAAGGTATAAATATATCTATACCTTGCTACTGCTGTACTTGTCCGTACGGTCTTCATATTTTACATAAGCATCCTCGCTATTATCATTATTTGACCTCACCTGTAATGTGGTTGCGGCATCTCTTTTATGTTCATTAACTACCACCTCAGCACTTTCATCGCAATTTGCCTGTACCAACGTGTCAACAACCTACACATTCGTCTACAAAGTTTCCATATTTTAATACTTTTGTTATATTTCCCGTGTGGTTCTTTATACAACTTTAAGAATGAATAATCAATAATAACATTCGTCTTACTTATTGATCAGCAACTTGTTAAACAGAAAATCTTTCGTCTTCTGAGGTAGGGTGTTGGTGGGCGCGGCTAAGCTTGTAAGCCAATATATCCAAGTAATGTGAATGAGTTTTACCTCCATACTGTGGATTGATTATTAATGCCTACTATCCTCTGGCCTTGTTGAGTCATTGCCAAATATATTCATATTTGTACTGTACATACTAACGTTCGAGTACTTCCTGGCTTTAAAGGCAAATGTTACAAACATTGTAACCCGATATTTGTGGCGTTAAAGGCTGCACAATCTTTTGACTGCCTAAGAAACTCCACAGTTACGAACATCAGAATGTCAGAGGAATCATTAAGACCGTACTTATAAGTTTTGGTGTCACCGAATATAAGACCTTGGCGTTATTTCACTTTTGCAAGACGAAGGTGAGGCAACAGTTAGCGAATGATAAAAAAGTAAATACTTAAAAACAATGACAACCAAGGCACGATTCCGGGCATCGATCCTCGCTACTGTCTACATTCGACAAGAATTGACCAAACCTAACCTCCCCGAACGACCTTGGTTATCTTATGGTTGTTCGACGAAGTTAATTTGGTTCCGTGTCGTATATCATTACAAACGAAACGAGAGCAGGAATCAGTGCTAATTCTTGAAGATTGCTTCTAAGAAGGGACACACATTGGTGTTCAAACTGCAAACTTACAAGGGTGTGGCTATGGACACAGGTCTGGCCCTTCAATATTTACTTTTGCTAGAGCAGGATATGTACTGTATAGTCTGTGTAAAAAGTAAATGGCCTTAGTACGCACGAGGCTGATTTGGTCGTAATAGCCATGATCGGTGAACCTCGGCGTACGACACAATAATCACCTGGCGAGGTAACAAGGGAAAAATAAACCATTTACAGGATTCCTGTTTCATATCTCCGCTGGAAGGGTGTTTGTGGTCCCGTCAACAACAGAAGCTCTACATTACTGTATAGGCTTCGACGCTATAATAATTTTCACTGCAAACATGGACCAACCAAACCTGGTAAACTAAACCAAAACCTAAATCATATAGTTATACAGTATCTAGTTACTTTGAGGTCGCATTTTAAACAAAACCAACTCTAACTGAAGATCGTTTTAATTACGTTAGTTTAAATATTTGTAAGTCCGGTTGGTTCATGACTTCGCTAACCAAGCCAAACGTAACCTTCGATCATCTGGTTAACTTAGGTTGATTATAAGTTATATTTGGCTGGTTTATGTCTGCCGTGATTAAAATCACAGCGGAATACACTCCCTGCTTAAAAAAAAATACATAACTAAGAGCAGATCCCTTAGTCTGTAACCACGGCGAACTTATGCATCTAAACAAAATAAATAAATCGGCCGACAAATCGCAATACAAATGATTCCACCATAGTTGGTTGGCTAAGTTTGTTCAATACCAATCGTCAGTCGATAATCAGAACAGTATGTATTTGGGACTTCGTCGGCCTACTGAAACAGTTGAAAAATGTTACTGTTATACTTCTTAAATAGTGACTAGTTGGGCACTCATCCAGGATTCTATCTCCATACGCAAAGTTTGGATGGTTGGACAAAATCGCACACACGGAAACAAAACCAGAACACCACAAACGACGACCAACTAAATACATAAAAATCATGGGCAGTTCAATGATTACTCTTTCCTCAATAGCTTATTGTAGCTTAAATCAGAATTATCGTATTACTATTCCACTTAATATTATTCTTTGGTAGAGGCAGACATTTCGCATTCTACTGGAAAGCACCAATAATACAAGTTAAAATATTCATTCAAACCACTTCGAGATAATTTCCCCCATCACTGACTTGTGCTGTCTTGAGCTGTCCTGTGTGTGTCATTAAATCATACCCTCACAGTTCTTAAATGATGTTGCATATACACTATTGTCATCCCAAACGTAATTGTGCGAGTGCCTGCGCGCTGGCGGATGTTGAAAGTAGATAGGACTGAACAAATAGCTTCAATGTGACCATATACATAAAGATATAATGGTTATGTACTGTGAATAAATCGGTCCATCTGGATATTGTACATATATTGTGAATCGAGGATTGTGCGGGGTGTGGGAGTAGGCAACTGTGACTTCAAGCGAACGGTTGTCCTGAGGTCTGACCAGCAGGCGGGCGTCACAGTGGCAACGGGGCAGGCGGTGGCACCATTTCCACCTGGTTCTGATTGTGATGGGGCGGGTTTGGCGCGGCACAGCGGAGTGGCGCCTCCAGTAGCAGATGGCTCAGTAAAAGTTGCGGTAGCGGCAGCTGGGGGCCCAGAGAGCCTGCACCAGCGGTCTCACGTCCGTTTTATGTATGACCCGCAGCGTAGTGTAGACGAGTGCGGCACTGCCGCTTAAGTGGTGGCGGGGTCTTGGTCTCCTCGGTCAACCATGCCACAATACCTGGGTCTTCCTGCCATGCTCGGGAGGTGAGGTGGTGTAAGCCACTCACACTCTCGTAGTTGTGCCCCTGCTTCAACAAGTAGCCTGTCGAAAACAGATTTATTACCGTATTACTGAATTTCCATCGACAAGCATGTAAATATTTATACTAAACTTAAATCATAAGGAAAAAATTAAATATTACCTAAAGAATTCAATGTCTATATGTTTCATGGCCCAGTAGAGTGGAGAGTGACCTTTGTAGTCCTCCAGAGTCAGGGGAACGCCAGCTGCCACCAGCTCCAATGCCATCTCTCGCCGACCCTGACAATAGATCAAACTTTTCATGGCTGATCATAATAATCAAAAGTACGCTACTGGCCCAAACATTATTAAATATTATTTAAATGCCTTCCAATATTAGCGCCTCAATTTAAATGAATGTATCATCAATCCCCATCACTTTAGGGAAAACTCACCATACTCTAACACAATACAGTACTTGAATACCATATTGGGACTTACCCTATAACCCAAGAATTGCATGGCGATGTTAAGGGGTTCTCCTGGCCCGAGTGAAGTCTATAGGTGCCCCAGACTTCAGGAGGACTCTGACGAAGGTTAACCTCTGCTCCTTGACTGCAAACCATAGCGGCGTTTGATTGTAGAAGTCGCGCAGGTCAAGGCGCGCCCCTCGACTTATAAGTTCCTCAAAGATCTCCCGGTAACCAAGTCTGAATAACAGTGTACTATATACAAAAAATGCATAGAAATATACATCTATTAAGTCAAGATATTTAAAATAACATCATCGTACTGTGTATATGAAAGTAGGTCCCATACGCATGCCTGCCCGTTAGGGACAGTGTGGATGCAGCACACAAGGAGGTAGCATGGCCGGTATTGTACCCATTTTCAGCAGGGTAAACTGGGAGTGCCCGGAATTTGCAATAAATCCCACTTGAGAAATAATTACAAAACTGTATACTCTTATTCATGTAATATATAAGCATTTTTAGATCATGTTGATAATTTATCGCTGTTGTGTGCATATACCCCTACTACTTCCTAACATCCAATAGGAAACAGACAAAATTATTATAATTAATTATATGAATATATAACTGTAGGCCATGCTAATTAGGGATAACTGCAAAACAACAGTACTGTATCTTCATTTTTTAATTCACACTGGCCTGTATACAGTATAGAGACGATCGTATGGCTAATCATAATATAATTTATCTTGTACATAAATAACATTATTACTATTCTAACTTAATTTACATATACTGTACTTGATTATGATAATAAAAGACGTGAAATAACAGCTAAGCTTATTATAGTATATGAAAAATGAGTTACCCCGATATGGCAAAAATTCAGCTGTTTTAATCTCATAAGAATCTCTTAGTATTACCATTTCACAAAAATTTATCTCAAATTCCTTTACACATAAAAACCTGGAACGTCAATGTGGCATTTAAAAACTCATGCACTGTTAAACAAATGTTAATCAAGAACCCCCAATGGGTTGCATTTATAAAGTTCCTTGCAAGGAATGTAATATGTTTTACTTAGGCCAGACAGGTAAAGATCTTGTAACTAGACTTAAACAACATAAATATAGTGTTAGGACAGGCCAGGAATCCAATGCTCTGTTTGTTCATCTGAGGGATAATAAGCATTGCATTGACTGGGATAATGCCTCCTCAATATTACCTTGTAATTCATTGACAGTAGGAACATTATAGAATCTAGTCTCATTAAACATACCGAAGCAGTCAACATGAATTTGAGTAATGGCATGTACAAACTGGACAATTTTGTAATTAAGAAGATTTGTAACCTTAGTCTGTACTCATCCCTGAAGATGTGAATTACACGAAAGCGCTTGGGCACTTCTGTGTTTCTTCTTCCTTGTGGTTATCAGCATATACCTGGATCACGCGCACCTACAGTGATTTACTTGCATATATATATATATATATATATATATATATATATATATATATATATATATATATATATATATATATATATATATATATATATATATATATATATATATATATATATATAAGATTATTAACTGAAATATTCGGAATTTCATCCTTTTACATAATGAGGCAGGCATATCTACAAAATTAAGACTTGAGATGCACTAACTGGATAAGACCGTAACTTATTGCTGAGTATCAAGGAGGCAGACACATTAGTACAAATGAGTCAGTAAGTTCATAATGTATCCAAATATACCTGACCACCAACCTGATGGAAGATATGATGGGGGTTTCAAGACGTTCCAGGTGATCTTTGCTGCGTTTGTCTAGGGGTGCCCCGGCCTTTATAAGGACCCTGAGGGCGTGGAGGTCGCCACGGTAGACAGCCAGGGAGAGAGCAGTGGTGCCTCTCACAGCAGCCCCCAAGTCCAGCCCACTCTCCGCGAGCCTCACCACTTCACCCATGTCTCCGTTCACGATGGCCTAAGAATGGAATGTAGTGTTTAATTATTTGTTACGAATGAGCGTTCAATGGTTGGTTGTGGATTCGCAACATGAACGTCTTTTGTTTGTGACGTCATTTCTGCTCGCTTTGTTTACCTCACAAGCCGGTTACGGGCCACGGCAGTATTGGGCTGGCAATGATAAGTTAAGTGCAGATTATCTCCTTCCTTATTGTACAGTATATTTCTAGTGATATAACGTGTAAACCTTGCTCGACTTTTATAACACCAACTACAGTATTATATGTGAGATTGTTGTTAATCATATTTTAGAATTCCACGGAAAATAACTTACTTATTTATGAGGTTTCGTGTGGTGGATATACCACGTTGTTCATAGTTGCTAAACTGAAGTGTTTAGTCTTTACTTTTATGTTCATTATTTTGTCACTCAGTTGAGTCATTTATTTGATCAGATTTAATTTGTATTTGTTTATTTTTGTACATAACTGATATATTTGTTTTATGGTTTGTTTGTTAATATACTCTGTAATTTGATTTACTTCGTGAATTTCAATATACCCCATAGTAATTGTTATCGCCGCTGGCTTCAGCTACAGTGCTGGCGTGTGATGCCATTAAATCTTTCGATCTGTGACCTCGCCAGATGTAGAAGTGTTTACAGGCAAGTCCTGGTTCTGCTGAGTGGACTGTCTTAGACTGGTGGCGGTGGCTGCCCGCCCCTCCATGAGATAGATCGCCCTCTCTAGCGATGCTGTGAAGACCAGCCTTCTCCTGTCCGAGAATTTGTGCTGGGACTATTTACGCAATACTGTTTTCTCTTGGAACACCATACTGATCTGCATTGACCCGCACTTGTAAGTACAGCCTAAGTGATGACATATCCCTCGGTACTGAAATATTGTTGATTAATTACGCCTACTCGTTTCTGCAGAATGAAGCGAAGCTAAGATTAATAGAGTTATGAACTTTGTGTTTTGTCAGTATGTTTAATAAATTGTAATTAAGATAAAATTGTGTGAGACTAACTAATTATGTATCAGATGGATCACCTTGTAATATTATGAACGCCTTCTCCTCTGCAGGTTTTGACCACATCAATAAATATTGAGTGCGTCAAAAGACGGTTTTCAATCATTCCCTTCGACTTGCCCGTAACCTGAACGTCCTTAACTAAGGCATTTACAGTAATGAGGTGATGATTTTGGTGGGATCTATTCCTTGGACCTATAATACAAAGAGAAGTTGAATTTGTGATTTTGTTACAACCTAAGAGGCCAAAGGGTCGTAACATATTTGTGTGTTACTAAAGTCACTGTAATTGTCTTGGCCTATAGGGTGGCCTGAAATGTGTCTCAGTATATATGATTTTAGAATTAGTCATAATGAAAAGTGAGAAACCTAAACATTTGCTAAAAAGGCAACTTTACAGGCATTTGCAGAATTCTCATTGGACATAAGCCAGATTTGTTAGTGGTAGGTAGGAGGCAGCTACCAAACAGGGAGGTACTACCGCCTGGGAAGATATTGGAAGCATAATGTATTGTCTAATGGTAGACCCTGCTGCCATATGGCATAACGAAAATTGTGACCAAGTCCCAGGTTGCTGGTCTGACTTTCTGCCTCATTTACACACAATTGCAGGGTCTTAATTGTTTCTCTTACTATTGACAACACAACATACATATATATATTGTTTCTCACTTTTTATTTATTTTTTCATTTTTGTATATAGTTTTTTGTTATTATAATTTTTATTTTATTTCATTTTAAATTTTGTATTTTGCATTATAATTTTATTTACTATGAATTATTATTATTATAATTATTATTATTATTATTATTATTATTATTATTATTATTATTATTATTATTATTATTATTATTATTATTATTACATTTTCGCCCCCCAGGCTCCGATGTGGGTCAGTGACCTGTGCCCGGGTGGCCTAATCCCCGTTAAAAAAAAAAATGGACACGTAATTTTCACTTCGCCACAATGCCGATGAAATTCTGAAGCATTTTAAGAAAATTGTCAAAAGTAGTACAGCGTCTCTCACTCTGGAAACCCCTCTATAAGCATGTCAAAATACAGTGAGTCGAATAAAATGTAATTTCCTTGTCAAAAAGCTATAGGCCTGACGTTCGTTTCATTAATCATGTGTATTACACAAAGACGATGCGTACTTATACAAAATGCATTTTAATTACAGTATCTGATTTCAAACCGTATTTCAATTGATTCACCTACATAATGTATATTAAGTCACAGTGGTTCTTGGGAGAGGTGATTATGAGTCGCTATTAGAAATAATGATGCATTTGCTACTTTCATAAAAGTCAGGTTAGTCACTTCATAACTATCACGCCAAGTAATGTATGATTATATTATTTTATATCACTCATTGCTAATTTTAATGGAAGACTAGTGCAGCGTACAACAAATATTAACTAGTTATATGCCCAATCTTACTAATTTGTGTAAAGCCTATTTTTGCGTTACTTTTGACGATACATCTTTACAGATAATGGTCGATATAATATTAACACAGGTCACTGATGAGGTAAATATCCAACCATTATAAAAGGATCTGCGGCTATATTCCCTATATTGGAGAGGGCAAAGACTGTACTAAAACAATGCAAGATGAACTCTTGCTCGTGCACAACAAAGAATACATTCCTGCTTATTAAAAAATGTGCCATGCTTAGAAGACACTTTCCAAAGAATATCCTTGGCAACAAACCAGTCGGAAGAAATAAGAATCGTTTTATATAACAATACACAAATTTTGCCTTTGCTGTGTGTTAATCAAAGATATAAGGACACAGTAACGTTGGTATCACAGATGAAAACAAAATATAAAATTTTTATCTCCTGAAGATTTTTGAAGATTATTTGCATACGTGTTGTGGCACTATGACTTACATTATTCATTCATGGAGTTGATAATTAGCATTGCTAGTGATAATAATGGACATTGTTAAGAATCATTACTCACCTGATGGAGATCGAGGATATGTGGCATCCTGCCCATTCTGGGGGAGGTCGCCCCCAGCACACCACTGGAGGACACGTTGCAGGAGGTTATCATGGGGGTGGAGGGTACAAGGTGTGAGCGTGCGGAAGTGCCTCACCCTCGTCATGGGGCCAGCACGTACAGCGCTGACGAGGCGAAGGAGACCGGTCTTGTGTACGTCTAGCTTAAACTTAGTCACAGACGATAACGTTTATCTTCACTATATTTTGTTTATTTGCTGACTGTGTCGAGGGTTAGGGATATCATTAATTTCCAGGATATAATGAACTATTAGCGAAGACCGTTACAGCGCATAATTTTGAAAGTAGTGTATTATCTTGTCTGCCTGAGATAGGCAAAGGGCCACTTAAGTAATCAATAAGCATCTAATTATATCTTTTATTGTCTGTATTGGATCACTGGATACACTTTTCACTACGGCACTGTTTTTGTCATTCGGTAGCTCGGTTTTAGTGAGTTTCCATCTTTGTGAACCAGCTAGTTTACAATGCTTCACGTTCCCTTTTCTTCCTTTTTTTTTCAGTCCTTCACATTTCATACAACTTTCACGGAATGACTGAATAACTTGATATGCTGCTGCCTGACTATCATAACGTTACACCATTGCTCCGCCCACTGTCCGCCTGACACAATTATCCACTAACTGTAAAGGTAAATAAAGAAATTACAAACATGACATTATATTGACTTTAAACTGGTTTGTAGGGTAGGATAAAATTTTATTTATTTTATTCAGTGCTAATAGATTACATCTTGTTGTAAACCAATGACAAACACACACACACACACACACACACATATATATATATATATATATATATATATATATATATATATATATATAGAGAGAGAGAGAGAGAGAGAGAGAGAGAGAGAGAGAGAGAGAGAGAGAGAGAGAGATGTAAATCCACATTGGCTTCTGGGTAATGGACATCGCAACTTTAATTAATTTAACTTTAATCATAGCAACTGACTACCGGTAATAATATTTTAGCACGTAAAGGTGCAATATATCATGTCTAGACTTAGTTATTTTACTTTTTCTACTAATTCACCACACGCATATAATTCCCTTTCATAATATGGTAAATTCATAAAATATATACTTTCGGTGGGTGAACAGATGTACAGGTAAGCATGCGTAAAGGTGTGTAGCTTCATGACTACTGAGGATTAGTCACACTGGTCAGCAACTTTTTTTCTATCAAACAATTCCCACAATAATACACAGAGGCCGAAAAAACAGACTTACCTTCCGGCACGTTCTGGGGAATAAAAAAATCAAGTGATACATACAAAGTCGCAGTCACACTTTCTCTCTGCCAACACTGTGCCCCATCCTCCCCAGTGAACACATACTAGATCTCCAACAGACACACTTTACTTGGGCATACAACAAACAAACTAGAAGGTTGTGTCCCGTGCCCCTACTACTACTGCTGCTGCTGCTGCTGCTGGCAATCAATTCAGGCTGAATGGTAAAGACCTCAAGTCTTAATTTTCCTTCCAACTTTATGTTTTCTCATCATGCGCTAAATACATGAGATACTTACACAGCATTAATTCATCTGAGTTGCTTTTTCCATAAACTTCTGTGATAAAGTCATGCCTTCGTTTTAACTTATCTTGCATCATCAAATAGACGATGAAGTTATCTGTATGGATGTAAAAGTGTTACCTTTAACAATTTATACCGCTTAGACTTTCAATGAAACCAAGTAGACAGACAGACAGTTACACTGTGTCCGGCAGGAGGCATTACGACTCCCCAGGATCAGCATACAAATTGAGTTGAACCGTCACCCGAATAGCCTCTTCCTCACTCTTTCACATATATGGCTCCTTTTGTTATTATTAAATGTTTTAAGTGCCTAATGTACAACCATTCTTTTCAATTTGATAAAAAGTTCTGCCACCAAGCTCGCCATTAAGCGGTGGTTGGAAGACATGTGTGGTAAGAGCCGGTGTGGCTGCTACTTGAGGAGACCTGTCACACTGTGTTACCCGAGACGCAACCTGAAAACCTGATTCTCTTATTTTTGGTCCAGTTTCACTTAGTTAAATGTAGCTGTAATGTTTATAGTTTTGCTCAGCCATGAACCTTTGGTGAACCTATTGTGTACAACAGTAGGTACAAAGTTTGTGACATGAATTTCTGTATAGCGAGGTTACGTGTGTCTGGATTTAACCCCGTTCCAGTAATAAAGCTTTACATGATACTTTACACTTCCAGTTGAGATAACTTTAGACTTTAAGATTTTCAGGATATTAATAAATATAACATCAAAGGGAACTGATACTTTTTGGTTTTAAGATGTTCACATTTTTGAGGATGTATTGATACTTTTAAACAGAAGAGACGTTATTTAAATTAGTTACGTTGCAATTTTTCTTTTCATTAATGTAGCATAATTAAACAAATATATATTAACTGCAGTCTATATAATATTCCGTGATATGAACACATATTAGCCGTATGAGGTGTGGACACAAAATAATGTAGTTAAGAGAGAATACTGAAGAGAACATCATTTCTTTATTGTGTCACTTTTCCTTAGGAAAATCATTTATGTCTACTCAACTGTTTCTCTTCACTCCATTCAACTTATATTACCGTACACAATTTCTTTAAGTCAATGTCACTGCATCTCCCTAACTTCCACTTTCTCCAGTTATGTTCCTTGTATTCGTTATTCATATGGTAATTTTAATTATATTCTTAAAGTACAGACTGATAAATCGTAAGCGTGATTATTGCCTTGGATAGTCCAACCAGTCTGCCACAGAACGTGCAACAGGAGTTAATAAAAGGAGCCGCTTTAGAGCGGAAGTCAATACAACACTGTGCAGGTATTCAACCACTGCAGTAACTAAGCTCCACTGGGGGCTTACTGCGTAACCTGTTGGAAAGTTCCCACACGTCCTAGGTAGAACTGTCTGGCTCTTTACAAGGCCAGGTTAAATACGATTTACTTGTAACAACATTATAAGCCACAATTATTGTACCGGGTGATGGTGTTGCCTTGAACTAGTACAGCTTCTCGAAATATTTTTTCAAATTTTTTAATGTTTACAAAATTGTATAATGCATGAGAGATAAACTGAACCATAGGTGCTATTACTCTGAAAGATAATAACACATCAAAACGTATAGAGAATTACAGTTTTACCTGTTAAATCAGTTATACAATTGCAGTAGTCCAGTCAAAGCAAGGTTGCCGGAACACCCCGATATTACAATCCAGTTTCCTCACCACCATCCCGTAATACCTAAATTGTTAACATTAGTTGCTATGAATGGCAACCACATGATTACTTGGGTATTATGTAACAAAGTTATTAAGTTTTATAATTTTCTGTTACTGTTTCTTGAAGCACAACAGAAGTCAATATTAGAGTTGCCACAAATCGCAGGACCCTTTGTTTGTACTGGTCAAATTGCAGTCTCTCACCACATGATTGTTACTTCACAATTCTAGACAGCCTCCGAGGTGGGTGTATTGTGGATGGGGCTTCCAATTTATAGAAGGGATAGGTAGAAGCACTACGCCTGACGAGGGCTGAGGGGATACTGGCAGCTCACGTGCTGCCCTAGGACACGAGTAGTTGCCACACACCACTTACTAGAATTACAAAGTCATTGTTCACGGAAGGTCTTTAGTCTCGCTGGTCTAGAGAACCGTGTGGCACGCCTGAATCTGTTAGCGCTTGACGTCTGTGATAACAGACTTTTTGTCTTCAAGGTTTTCATGAGCAATATACAGCGGCGTGTTCAAGTTTGTTTTGTCCGGCAGGCACGTGTCACTATTGATTTCTCTGCTCGCAACGTCCTCCACGCACCCGGAGGTCTATCTTGAACGAAATTCTGACATTTGTTAGGTAGTGCGTCCTTGAGTGTTTGTTGCCCCAGATATATAACGGTGAGTTGACAGGCAGATAGGATTAACATCCACCATGGATCAACGTGATTTGTGCGGATATCCTATCTGCGTATCAACACACCCTTGTGTGTGTGTTACGCTAAATAGATTTAATTGCCCAATTAAGCCTATGAACACAATTAATGGTAAAATTGGTTGTTTCATTGTTCCGTTTAGTAACCTAAGCAAACCAAACCTTAAGTAGGCCAAATTAGGCTGGTAATGATGCTATTTACAAGATTTAATTCTGATTAAATAACCGTTTCTAACTACAGGCTAATCCAACCTTTCGAGAAAAAAATAAGTCCATAAATCACTTGCACCTACAGTGATTTATATATATTATATATATATATATATATATATATATATATATATATATATATATATATATATATATATATATATATATATATATATATATATATATATATATAAGAGAACAGTTCAGCGCAGTCTGAACCTCTATGTGAATATGAAAGTGCTTTGGGAACTCGTGTTTTCTTTTTCCTTGTGGTTAAGCATATACCTGGATCACGCGCACCTACAGTGATTTATTTGCATATATATATATATATATATATAATATATATATATATATATATATATATATATATATATATATTTATATATATTTATATATATATATTACAGGTCGGTAATTTCATGACATACTCAAAAATTAAAACCACTACGTACAGTATGTCCTATCTGTAGTAGTTTGAATCATTATTAACCTGACCCTATCTAACTTAGATCTGGTTACATTATAATAACAACGTCTCTATGAAGTAGAACAAGTTTTACCATTTATATACTGTACTAATTTTCAGTCGTCAATAAATCATAGCATTAAAAACAGTTATTCCTTTTCAGCTAAACCGTCAGTTGCATTTTAAGGTAAAATGGGAGTTTCACTGGGAATGATATTCAACACCCAACGCTCTATTAAACAATTATTCAGAACAAAATGTTTGATATCAACACACCTACAATAATTATCAGTAGTTTATCAGTTTGTGTGCTAGCTGTAGGGCAGCATATATTGGAGAAAAAGACACGCATCCATGAGCACTTGGGTCGTTTAGTTCGTACAGGCCAATTAATCATTCAACTATCCGTAACCACGCCCACCGACATGACCACCCGTTCACCTGCACGGCGGACTGTTTCAGTTCTCGTGAAGGCCAGCAACTCGACAGACCTACCCAGCATGGAAGCTCTTCCAAATTAGAAGCTGCTATCAATGATTGTGACCTCGTGTGAACTATTGTTCTTCGCATTGAGGTTTGTTTACCCCCATCTTTATTCCTCTTGTACATTTTTGCGTTTATCTTGGCATTTGAATTTCTTCAGTTAATCAAATAACCCTTGTGCACATCGCATAGGTGAGGTGAAGCGTTGTACACGTGGGTGAGGTTACTTAACTCTCATACTCACTGGGAATAAGAATCGTCATAAGCTATATTAGGTAGGAGTGAATGACTCCAGCGTGTCAGCTTGACTTAGACAAACACTACTCCTTTATTGCCTACTGAGATACCTCTTTTATGGTCCATAATAACTTTATACAGTAGATTGATTTTCATATTATTCCATAAAATTTTCACCAACATACACAAAACTTATCTGTTGATTTTGTTCAGATAATTCTTACCATAAAATACTGACGGATCCATGATTTATGGGGGGGGGGGACTCGACAATATAAAACTGACTACAC